AGCTTAAAAGCAATTGCAGTAATTGCTTCTTCATCTTTCTTTCTCTCACCCCAGTCTCTCTGATTTGAAGCTTTCTAGCAGCATGATAGCCATGGCAGGACTCAGAGAGGCTCAGAAGGCCAGTTCCAGAAGCCTGTATTTCTCACCAGTGTCTTCTGGCAGAAGGACAGACCACAGAGCTGATAGCAAGCTCCTGTTGCCCAGGTTTTTTGGCTGGAGAACTAGGAAGGATAAACACCTCCTTAAGCACTGTAAGATAGAAATAGAAGGGAAAGGAATGGAAATCCTCTCATAATGCAAGAGCTAGAAGCAGTCCAGCTGTTTTGTTTTATTCCCACCATGAGAACTACAGTCAGTCCCAGTGCAAGCTTGGCCACCTGTCAAATCAGGTTTGTGAACTGAAGCTTATTGGAATTTGACACAGTCTTGTCTTGGAGCACACTGGTATGGATCAATAAAGGCTCCTCCGATAGCAGTGACACAACACGTATGCTATCCACACGGTCCCAGATGCCCCTTGTAAATCATTAAAATACTGGCCAGTTCTAATCAGACCCTTTGGGGTATAACGTAATATACTATCGGAGAACTTGAAACAATAAATCAGGTTAGCACAGAGGTCAGTCTGAGAATGAACAGAGCTGAGGCTTGTGGGGTGATGTGCATGCAGTGTAAGAGATGCAACGAGAGGAGGTGAAATCCCAAGTCAGCTATGCAGATTGCTTTCTTCTCATTGTAAAACCTCACTACCTTTCTACAGAAAGAAAAAATAATAGGATCTAATCATATCCTGTAGCACAGATGATTTGAGGTCTACAATTTCCCAGCAGTTGTGTTAGCTCTTGGGATCACAGGTATTTCTAATAATTTCTCCTTTAGGTTAACTCATACCATATTTCTAAAGTAAATAACAGTTAAAAAATGTGACCCCTAAATGTCACAGATCACCTGCTGCAAAAAGATCTGACTTTCCTCTAGAGCTGAAAACCATTTAACCATTAGCAAAAAATCATTTGGATCCCATCAGAAGGCAGTTGCTGTGGCTGCACTCTTCAGCCTTGCTTGGGACACAGCAGGCACCTTTGGGAAGGAGATACTGTCTTGCAAGTGCCCAGGTGCTGGCAACTAGTAACAGCCTATGTGCTGCAGCACTGCTGCACAGACCTAAATGTTTGAGGCTTTCTCTTTGTTACAGATAGGTTGAGTCCCATCTGCATTTGTCAAGTGTTTTCTGACTCTGTGGACAACAGAAGTATGGGGTACGAGCAATTTCTGTGGCCAATGTGAATGGTCACCACAAATGTCAGCTGGCAATGAGTGATACCGAAGGCTAACATTTCTGGTGTGTCTGCATGTGCCTTTCTGTTTCTTCCCTTACCTTTAGAAGACAAATATTGAGTAATTGTTTCTCATCTTACCTTAGGGCAAGGATAGCCTGTGATGAATATTCCATACGCTGAGACTATATAACTCTCAGCACCGCTGTTTAATTTCCCTTGCTTTCTGCTGCACTTTTCCATCAAACCTCTCTATGCTTAGCCTAAATTGGGCGGCATGTTTTTAGAATCCATATAGCAGAATAGCTTGGTGCCTGAGTTTTAACCATGGAGCTGTCTTTTTGGTAGTGGCCTGCTGGAAAGGTATCTGATGCCCCTGCCATGATAGCTTCCCTTTAGCTCTGAAGGCCAGAAAAGGACTTTGCTTTTATCCTGTCAAAGCTGCTGTTATCCAGGTACGGGTTTTGCTGTGGAAGATGTGAGTCAAGTGTTCTCTTTGGGGTTTGTGCCGGTGCATCTCAAAGGGAGCTCAGCTGAAAGGTTTGGAGAGCAGTGCCAGGAGCTATCTCAGACCTCGCCTTTGGTAATGCAAGCCAGTAACTCAGAAAGTCACCATATCACAGTGAACAGAGTCACCACGAAGCACTGATGTTAAATAAAAGGCCTAGCAAAAACCAAGGCAGTAAATATCTGATGGTGAAAAAAGAGGAATTTGGCCTGCTTGAATGACGTACCAACTTCTCTAAACTGGAAGAGTGCATGGGGCAAGGTGGCTTAATATTACATTTTATCTCTAATTAAACCTAAAATAAGTTTGAATTTGTTTTAAACCTGGTGGAGAAATAGTTGAAATGATGGAGATGCAATAATCAGTTTCATCAGAATCGTAGCACAGCTTGGTGCGGGAACTTAATGAAGATTTGTTGGTCAACAGCAATCTCCCAACCCACTTAATGTGCTCTCTATTTAATTTGCTCTGCTACTGTAGTAAATTTGAAGCCCCCAGGTCAGACTCAGCTTTTGTGGCTCTTGCAGTCTCTGCAGTGTCAGCAGGAAGCATGAACCAAAGACTTCAAGCCTGGGCTTGAGAAATGTATATTTCTCTTAATGAAACCCAAAGCCAGGTGAAATTTTTGGGAGAGAGGAAACAGGATATGGAGCCCCTTTGGGGGCTGGGAGGTGTTCATAACACTCTGAAACTTGGCCCACATTTCTGATCTCCTCCCTTACTGCTACACAAAGGGTTTGTAGCTTTTTTAGACACACTTGGATCCATTGTATGTTGTGAGAGAACCTGCTGGGAAATTTGGTGATTCCTGCTCACCAGAGCAGAGGAAATGTGTGTTTCTGCTTTGTGTTTTTAGGAAAGTAGGAAGATGAAATTCAAAATGAAGCAGAGCAGATGGGAGTCTTTCAGAGAATGACACTGGGAAACATTTAGACAAGCTTTGTCCCCAGTCCTTGAGCTCAGGATTTAGCAACTATACCATAGAGAGATTTAAGAAAGACAATGAAATGCATTTTGGCTTCAAATACAGTTCCTCCAGAATCCGATGAGAGTTGTGCACGTGAATCTGAAGCCAGAATATAGCCAGCAGTATGGGGAATAGATGTAATGTGAGAAACTCTCGTGCTATATTATTATAGTCTGAATTGTTTCCATCATTCTGGGTTAAGTAATTCCCCACTATCCATCTCTAAACTGTAAGCAGTAGAGCCTTGATGTGCCCCAGGGAGAGGAAGCAAACCAGTCTTTGAATCTTTACCCAACCTTACTGCTCATATTTTGCTTTCAGTGAATAACTGTTCAAATCCTTTAATATTTCATTCCCATAAAAATATATTTACCAGGGGTTTTTGTGGCAGCAGTAAGTCTGTGTTTATTATTTTAGGAACACCACATGACTGGCTTTAGAGAAAAGACGAGGTAGGAGCACAGAGTGCTGCAATCTATCAGGGAACAGCATGTTTTCCACCTGTTGAGGCAGCAACCACAATAACAGATGCACATCATAATTACCTGTACCTCAAAGGCAGCACCACGTCCTGCACCTTCTGCTCCCCACCTAGCAGACAGCTTGATAACAGAATTACAAAAGAGGAACAGCGAGAGAACGGAGTAGATAGCTCTTTGAGGAGAACCAAAGAGCAGTTCTTATTAAAGAGAAAACTGGAAGGTGGAAGATGAGAAGGAAAGATCTGAGGCACCATGATGCTAAAAAAGAGTGGAGCTGAAAAACTCCAGGAGCCTGCCTTATTTTTAGAGAGGTGGTCAGGTTTTTGCAAATGCCTTTTTCAAGGCTGCTTTCATTTGTGCTCCTATCATCAGGGATAATCTCTCCTGAGGGATAGGTGCCCCACACATCTAACGGAGCTCAATCCTTCCCAGGATGGGTGGCTCTGCAGTGGCAGGACAGGCTCATGCCCCCATGGGTAATGGTCTTTTCTCAGTGACAGGATCAGTGAGTGTGATGACCCTATGCCAAGGCCCTGTTCCTTTCCCCATCCCTGTCAGCAGGCACTGGGAGCACGTGGGAGCTCTGCTACTCCCGTTTGCCCCAGAGGGGCTGTGCAAAGAAAGGTCAAGGACAGAGTGGGGTGCAGGGCTGTGAAGCAGGTAAAATACCTTTGTTCCTCACTGCTAACCTGCTGTGGGGTCTTGTGACCTGCTCTGGCTACTGCAAAGGAGGAGGTAGCATTCAGCTGGGTGAGGGCTCCCTGAGCACATGAGCTTTGATGTGATTTGTACCACAGCAGTCCTTTGCAGGCAGAAAGGAAGAGATCCTTCCTTGCAGAGATTTGCAGAGGAAGAGAATGATCTCAGCCCCGATTTAATCTTGACAGAAGCAGATGATGAGAAGACTGTGTGCTGAGTTGGAGTTTTCCTTTGAATTCCTATGGTGTTGAAGGCAGAGTTATAAATAGACACAGTATCCTTTCTACCCTGGTACAATTCTGTCTGCAGCTCCCCATATAGACAGCAAGTCTGCTGGTAGGTATTTAGCAGGAATTAATTTAACCCAGTCTTCTCTTCTGTACTCTTTCACTCCAGGAATCCTGATGGCTGCCATAGCCATACAGACATTATTTCCTCAATAAAAGTGTTCTGAGGAAGGCTGTTGATATTAAAAAAAAAAAAAACATTTCTGCCTGAAAATTCTATCCTAGTTACAAATAATTCATAGAAGCCCCAAATGATAAAGAGTATATAAAAAATAATAAGAAAAAAGTCCCCTCTTCCCTCCCCTCCCAAAAAACTTATTAATCTCTCTTTTTTTTCCCCTCATGTTTTGTTTCTGAATAGCACAGCACTTTCTTCATAGCCTGTTCCACATTTTCTCCAGGGCAGCCAGTTGGCCAGTTACCCCTTTCCCAAGGAAGACTCTTGTGGATATCAGCTGCACAGCATTAGGAAATCCATCTACAGTGCTTCATGGCTATTAGATAGATCTTCAAGAAATTTAAATACAAGCTGGACCGGTGTTTAAAAAAAAAAAAAAAAGCCCTGCATTTAAGCATCTCACTCGGTGTTGGTTTCTCATGCTGGGCCTCCAGCAGGACAGCCTCCCAGAATGTCACAAACCCCAGGGTGTAAGGCCAGCAGCAGTGACCCGGTCTCACCCCACCCCTGTCCCTGCTCGCTGCTGGTGGGGCCGAGGCCCGAGGCGTGCTGCTGGGTGTGTGGCAGGCTGGCAAGCTGGCAAACAAGCTCAAGGTACTTGCCTGGTGGTCGAAGCTCCTGCGTGGCCGTGCCTCAGCTTACCTTTGTATGAGCAGTGCCCTTAGCTTTCCTCCTACCGTAACAGTCACAAGCAGCCTCTCTGCCTTTGGTTTATTCAAAGTCTATTTTTAATTGTGTTAATTATAAACCATCATCCCCCACCCTCTTTGGACCCACAGGCATCAGCCGGAGGGAGGCAATGAGCGGGCAGAGCCGAACGCTGCGTGTTGGCAGCGCAGGGCAGGCAGGGCAGCGCGACCGCGAGGCTTTCCTGCGCGTGGGTCGCGCCCGGGCCTCCCACGCAGGGCAGGGCGCCTGCAGCACGGCCGCTACTTCGGCCCCGGGTTTTCACCCACCAGTGAAAACCACCCCCTCCGGAACAAAGCGGACGGGCAGGGGCCGGGGCTCGGCGCCCGCCTGCCTGCAGACGGGGGCGGCCGCGTACCGCCCGCTGGCGAGCCACGCTACGCCACGCCGAGGCCGCCACCTGGTGGCTGCGGGGGGCAGCGCGGGCACGGCCGTGTTGTGCTGCGCCGCTGGGGCGTGCGTGCGAACGGGAGCTGGGCCGAGGAGGCTCTTGTTCCTGGGGCGTCCTGATCTGCTTCCATTTTTATGTTATTTTACTTTATTTCATTTTACTTTATTTTACTGCTCGTCCTGCAAATTGAAGCTTTTTATTCCTTTTTTTTTCTTTTTCTTTTTTTTTTTTTCATTCTAAGCTAATTGGTAATGAAGATGTGCATATTGCCTTTGATTTGAGTCTAAAACGGGCTTTTAAGACGACCACGTGCTGTGCTTGTGCTGCCTTGCAGAGCAGCCCTGCAGCCCATGGGCAGGTTTCTTTACTCAGGGAACTAAAGCCCCCTGTACTCACACTGTGAGACAAGGCCTCAGCACCTTGCTCCAAGCTCTTGCTCCCAGTCTACATAGCAGATGTAGATATGGCCAAAGACAATTATAAAAGGTGCTGAGTAGCCCTTGCCCTTCATGGAGACAGGAATCTGCCTTACAAACAGCATTGGGAATGGCAAGGCGTGTTTTTCCTTGTTGCTTTGCTGCTTTTGAGCAGCTGGTTCGCCACAGTGGGCAGCATCCATGCCTCTGCATTCCAGAGTGTGGTAGCAGGAATGCAAACAGCTGCCATCCCCAAGCTGGCTTTGTGCTGCGAGTGTTTGTCCGCTGGGAGCTGAGATCCAGATGTGGCTCTCATAGTTTCCAGGCAGCACTGATCCATCAGATGACAGTAGCTATTGAGTGCTGCTCTGGTGGCCCAGAGACACAGAGATGAAAGTCTGATGTCTGTCAGCACTTCCCTTGCCATTCCTGTCTCCCTTCAGTTTTCACTTGAGTCTTCTCATAAAAGCAAATGCCCCAGAACATGATGTTGCAATTCTAATGGCCTTATTTTTGAGAAAGAAAATCATGAGTTTTGTAATGTTGAACTGCCAGAGAGACTTGGGATCCATTGAGCTTTGTTGTCAAATGCCTTCGTGCTCCCACTCCCACTGCCCATGGGCTATTGGGAGCCTCAGCTGGGAACCCACCTTCCTTTTCAAAAGCACGTCACACAGCATGTCCTGGATGAATTTTCTTAAAGAAGGGGAACAATATTTAAGTGCCCTCTTGAAGAAAGATATTTTCGTCAGGAAAAAAAATCAAACCAATCTGATGAACAAGCAACAGGAAATCGATGTAGACTTGGAGCTGTTTCTGTGAGTGGCTTGTGCTGTATCCCAGCTGCTCTGCCTCTAAGCAGCCCCTTTACCCCCCAGCTCACAGGCTCCACCAATTGTAAAAGCAAGAACTAACCAGAGTCAGATTCAGGTTTCAAAATACAAACCATTTTGGATACAGAGAGCTAAGGGGAAGGGGGGCAGCTGATTCGTAAGAAAACTTCTAAGCATTATTGTAGCATAAATAATACAGCATCTTTCACCTCAAATGGCCTAACACTTCATAAAGTGATATGAGCTTCACTCATTGCTGAAATGCAGCTATTTCTGAAGTGGAATCTGATATCCTTTTTTTTTTTTTTTTAACCAACAGAGAGCAATGTTTTAAGGTGGAGAGGGAAGGATATAATATACAGCCAACAGTAAGTGTAAGCTAAGGTGGCTTTGCAAAATGGGAAGGTCAGGTAAAATGTATTTTTAGTAACAACATACAATCTAGAGCATCTTAAACTTATATCCTTAGTTTGCAAATGCAATTCATTTCAAAGAGATCCAGGAAATTCAAGTCATGTTTTGTCCTCTCTTTTTTCGTGATACTGTTTTACAGTGCTTTGCTAGCAGGTTCTCTGGTTCTTTTCCTCTCTTCGCTTAATTTAATGTCCAGTTCTCGCAGCTGGCTGAGAAACCCTGTGTTTGGGCAGATGTCTCTGTGAGAACCCACCGTTTTCAGAGCGTCCACGAGCGTCATGTTTTCATGGATCATCAAAAAGGCAAGCACTAATGTTGCAGAGCGGCTCACCCCCATGGCACAGTGAACAAAAACTTTACCTGCAAAAGGAAGAGATGCAGCAAGGTGAGCAGGCTAAGGCATTTCTGAAGTGAAAGGAATGCAGGGAGGACAAATACTAACAAGCTGGCAGAACAGCCAGGATGATTGGCGCATACTCATTTATTCTTGAACAGCCTGAGATTGTGCTGTAGATCTCAGGCAAGGTGGTGCTTCATACTGAGCACACGCATCTAGCTTGGGCCTCTCAATAGTTATCAAAGAAAGCGCAGTTAACATAGCTTATCTGAAAATGCAGTTAACATAACTTATCTTGAAGCTCTATTAGCTCTAGAGAGAAGGAACCTAAGCACTGAATTTTGTAAATTGAACATTATGAATGCCCTTCCCTGACAGAAGCTATTGCATGGTGGAGGGTTTTTTTTCATGTAACGTGGAAAGAGTGCTGTGGAAATTGGGTTGGTTGGTTTGAGGTAGGAGACTAAATTTCAAAAACTAGAATATTTTTCAAAAAATTGTTTCCAACTTAAATGAAGACTGCTGTGTAGCTCCAGGATGCTTTTGCAGCTGATGAAGCCCAGATCTCTGGGGATCTGCTGGCCATTATGCTATAGGAGAACTCTCACCATGCAGGACAGTGGGGCAGAAAAACCTAGGCGGGATTCTCTGTTCTGACCCAAGCCTTGTCAGTTCTCAGGTATTTGTTTCCAGATTAAAATAGCTGAAATGTTCTGTTGAAGGAGAAGCTTTCTGTGACAAAACTCATTAGTGTAATTTTCTGTGGAAAAAAGAAATGGTTTTGGCAGAAAACTTTGGCCCAGCCCTGACTGTGATCATTGACAAGTTCCATAAACTCTGTAGGACAGTCTGACTGTAAAAACGGTCTCATAATTTACTGTGTCTCAGCAGCCCAGTGTGAGCTATAACTAGGGATTTAATAAAGCACTTCGAGTCAAAGTAGTAAGATCTCGCAGCCAGTCGGAGTCAGAGCAAACTCTGGAACAAATGGAAATTATGATAACTAGGCCATAATCCAAACTCTGCTGACAAAAATTCAGCAGGCTGCGGGTCAGACTCATAGCTTTTGACTTAGTTCATTAACTTGTGCTGCTTCTCTAGCTTTAATGGACAGCCGGCCCAGGTTCCAGTTGTGAAGCATTTAGGCACATGAAGCGTTTCAGCCAGCACTTGCAAGTGCCAGCAGGGAGTGGGAGAGCAGAGCTGTCATGCCACTCAGACCCAGCATCCCCAGGCTGGAGCCTGTCTGAGATGCAAGGGCAGGCCCTCAGACTGTGCCAGGAGGCAATTCCTGCAGGGTAAAAGCCCTGCAGTGCTATAGTCTTGCCCTCATTCTCCACTCCTGGTGTTGCCCCCTGCACTAAGGCCCAGTCACAGCCTGGTCCCTGCCATGCCTGGAGCAGCCTCCCAGCCTCTCTGCCCTCCTCCATGCCCATGTCCTCAAATGCTATGCTCAGCCTGAGCTTTGCTGCTAGTGCATTGAGAAGCCGTTTAGCTCATGTTGAAACTTCTTCCCAGAGCTTCTCGGTGCCTCCCTCTTACCTCCTGAAGTGTTTAAGGCTTTGCCTATGAAATTGGCAGCATCGTAGAAGAAGATACTTAAATCAAAGGAAGGATCATCAAATGCTTCTATTCCGAAGTACTCTATTTGCAGATCTTTGTAATATTTGGCTCCTGTGTTGATGCTATATGGCCCATCCGCTGCATTAAGGATATGAGTTATGTTGAGGCTTTGAATAGTAGTTATACTCCTAGCAGCCCACCTGTTGGAAGACACGAAGGTACACTGGCATCATGCCTAACGTTCTGCTAAAACATCATCATTTAACGTTAGAGCCTGCTCCCTCTAGAGAAGGATGCAGGGATTGCAGCTTGCTTACAGCGTAGCACATTGTCCTCCAACCTATGCAACCGAAAATGCAACGTGGTGGTATGGGAAGCAACCTGAGCACAAGCTTGCCTGTGAAATGCTGTTAGGTGAACGCGTCTCCCAGCAGTTTACCCCCGGGAACGTAGCTTGCTGCACAGACTGGTCAAGATCTTCCTTCAAATACTTGTGTAACAAGTTCTGCAGCTAACCTCTCACTCATATCGTACATGAGTGGCAAGGGCAAGAATGCATCCAGATGCAGCACCTCATTCCTGGTCAATCATGCTTAGCAGCTGAGTTCTCCTCCTAGCCATAAACTACGACAGAAGCTATTCCATAAAACAATGATCTTTTACAGATGAATTCATAAGGAGGAGGAGGAAGAGTTGGAAGAAAATTGTAGAATCATAGTAATGAAGTATTGCTCTGCCAGCCTCATCTGCATAACCTGCAGTAATCCAAAGAGAAGGAAACAACACCAAATAAAAGCGGTCAAAATTATGAAGGATTAAAATATGAATTATATTTTCAATCTTACTATCTTTGAAAGCAAGTTTGGATTTGGAATGCCAAAACCTGTGCTGCATAACTCGTTTGGGTCCCCCTCCACCAGGCTCCTGACCCTGCCAGCTCTATGTTTGACTCTGAGGGCTACTGTGCTACTGTGATCTCGTCTGCTGCCTGTCAGCAGTTTCCAGGGCAGATAGCGCTTCTCACAGTTGACACTAGTTTAGGATGAGTTCTTTAAAGACTTTTGGCAAGAATACAGATAATTCTTGCTTCGCCAAAATCCGCTGTGGCTCGTGGAATATGGAAAAAAAACCTCAAGCAGACTATAAATTACCCTTTTGTCCATCATACTTTCCATGACATTTAAACACCTCATGTTATCAGTTTTGGAAGCTTGTGTTGTAAAAACATTCCTGCACACCCAATAACTGGTCCCCAGTGGACCAATTCCCTTCCTCCTCCTCCCAGATTCCAATATAATCTTAATAATAGGACCATATGTTCTTACGCATCTCCCAGGTAAATATTTGGCCAGACTTGGTCCACATGGTTATCAGACCCTCCTCTGAACCAAATCAGTCTCTGGAGGTCTGCTAGTGCTGGTGTTTCGTAGGATGCTGGGACGCCTGCGCTGCTGCTTGGAAAGGAGTTGTCTCTGGTGTGAAGCATCTTGCTCCTCTCTTGCACACACTCAGGTTGTATCAGAGACAGCTTTTCTGAAATGAATTAAGAGGAATTATTTCATGCAGAAATAATATTCCCCACAAAGCATTCCTTCTCATTACCCTCCAAGCAGCATTACATTATTATAACTGGTGTGTGAAGTAGGGCCTGCAGGTGTTGCTGAAGGCATCCAGAGAGCAGGACTGACCCTGTGGTACAACTCTACAGGCATGTAATTCATCCCCTGAGAGAGCAGCAGCATAAGACGATATGATTTAATTTCTTGTCAAGTAAGGCTGTTGAAAAAAAAATGTCCTGTGCCACTCCAGCACAGTGCTGACTGACCCTCATAGGTGCAGGTATTGTTGCTGTTACTGCAGTGCTGATGAGTGTAAAATGGGAGAGCTCCAGTATTTTATGCTGGAGAGGTACAGAAGTGTTTGCGCACACTCACTTCTTGTTAGCTGGAACTGCAAGTTTTTGGAAGAACGAGCCATTGGACTGGCTCACAAGGCTTCTAGGGCCAAGGTGGGAATCTTAGGGTGTCTACAGGACATATATTCTCATAGTGTATGTGCATACATAAACAAAGTGCATGTATATGTAATTGTTCTTTCATTTATAAGGATGCATTTGCACAGACGTGCACAAGTGTACAAGCATATATGCATATAAATAGAAACAGCAAATTTGAACCATTTTTTCCTATATCTCAGGTGAATATTCGTCATCTATACTGGTATGCTTGTGTCTTGTCTGCCTCAGCCTCTCTTCTGGGAGCTGTTCCACTTTGTATAAATAATGTGATAACTATTTTGCCTCCAGAGTGAAGCCATCTCTCTCATCTGAAGGAGAGGGCACTTACCTGCAATGTAAAGAAAGAGGAGCATCTGGATTTAGGAAAATTATAAAGCTGAAAGTCCTGGTTTTGTAGCCATGTTAAAAATCCCATCTAGGACTGCTTTGCTCCCTTACAGATCCTGCAGTTGAATACATGGGCCATTTTTGCAACACTGCTCCTTTGTTGATGTTAAAGCCATAGTGTGGGAGCCACCTGAGAACTTATTCAAACTGTGAGATAGGTGTCCTGTGCTTGTTCTGCAAAAGCTTATGTGATGTCAGCTTGCACTGTAATACCTGAATACCTCAATCTAGAGTTTTGGTTTATTTTCTCAGCAATTCTAGGAAGCCCCTGGTAGACCTTTAGAATTCATCTAGTCTGTCCCTTGCCCCACCACAGCATCAGATGGATGTTGCTCCTAAAGCGCTACCAACAACTTTGTCCTAAGCTGGGTGCCTTATTTTAAATAGTGTAGGCTGATGTGGGACACAAGCAAGCATGCTTATAGGAAGATTAGTACAGTGATGCAAGGCATAGTATTGATCACACCACATATATTCCTGTGAATTGCTTCTGCTGCTCCCCTCTTTCTCCTCCTCCCCACTAAGAGAAAGATAACAGAGGTTCTACATCAGGGGACTCAGAATGCCATGGATTAATTTTCAAGGAGGGTGGATGAGTCTCAGTTACTGCAGGTGTTAAAAAGCTGAAGCTGTGCCCGTAAGCAGATGGTTCCTACGTTTTCAGTTGTAGCCCTCATTGCTTTTAACTTCTGTTGTAGTACGTCAGCTTGTTAAGGTAATGGAGACAGAAAAAGAGATGACATTGCCAAGCTTCTTGTTTTCGGCCTGATTTTGCAGTAGTTCTCTTGGCCTGCTAGAGCTGAGACCTTTTGGTAATGGTGGGACTCAGCAAGGGACTCCAGCCACTGCAGCCAGCAAGGTACTTTGCAACAGAGCTCCCTTTCATACAGCAAACCTCTTCCCCTGTAACACATTAGCAAGATTCGCTTCCCATGACTAATTCCAGAGAAGCGAGCTGCTCATGTCAGCGCGCAGCATGGCTCCTCCCAGCCACGCCACTCTCTCCCTGCTGTGCTGGCCTTGAAACTGAATTACTCCATGGGCCCTTCCGGAGAAACTTGGAAATAACTATACCAGGTGATTGGACTAATGAGAAAAGTAGTATGAATTTTTTAATTGAGGACCAGGGACTTAGCTCAGGGTTTCCTCCCTGCCCCCTTCTATTCTCAGATACTGCAAAGTTAGCAAAAGTGCTGCCACAAATCACATTTCTCTGTTTCCCCCTCCGTGTGGCTCAGAGAAGCTCCTCTAGGTGGAAACAGATAGCAGGAAGGCAGGATCCTCTGTGAAAAATCTCTTACAAGGTCACTAACACCTTCTGCATATGTCTCTTTTGGAGCTGCAGCCTGGAAGTACCTAAGGCCATCTCATTATATTCTTTGTTTCTATCTTTCTGGGTTTTGTTTTTTTTTACCCCTATATACTAGAGACACTTGAGACTGGATAAAGCTTCTGGAGGCAATCCAGGCGGATTAACCTCCTTGCTTCATGGGGAGAAGGCAAGGAGGCAAACACTTTGAAACCCTTCTGAAGTTAACCGTCAGTCACCAAGCGTCCAGAGCACCGGCGTGCATCCTGACAGGTCTTGCTGGGCTCTACACCTCAGCTGTGCTTCTTGCAGAGGTTTGTATCTCAGCTAATGTTATCCTGATCTTGAGTACTTCAGTCAGCAAGGGATTTTTCTGTTGTTTGTTTTTTCTTCAGACGCTAGGAAAAAAATTGCCATTTTCTAATGCAGATTTTTTTTCTGGCAAAGGAAAAAATATGCACAGCTTCAAAGTCAAGCTTGACTTGAACTGTCCAAAGCATTTAATAGATTTGTGTTGGACTTGCAGATTTCAGCCTAAGAAAACAAACTTCTGAGGAAAAAAGAAAAAAAAAAAGAAAAAGGAAATCCTCTGATGTTGAGGATTTGATATAGTTCATTTTAGTATCTCAAAAGGAAGAAAAAGGCCATTTCCTTTTTTTCTATTAAAAAAATACTTCTGTTTTGGAATTTGAGTTTATCATTGCATAAAATCCTTCAAAATATAAAAACAAGATGAAGTGGTATGTTTCTGGTTGAGGAAAACACGTTTTGTATAATTAAACACACGCACTAACTAACCAAGCATCTTTCATTGTCACTCCTGCAGCATGGGGAAGGCCTGCTGCCATTTTGCTGTAGTATTATCATGCCTCCTAAGGCCAGAACCGACATACAGAAGCTGAACTATCCTGATTCCCAAGAGGAGCCCATCACAGGGCAGCAGCTGGGCCCCAGGTCCTGTCCTACCACCACAATATCCCCTGCATGTTTCCAGTTGGCAAGGCTCTGCTCTTGGCTCTGGTGACAGCCTGGGGAGTGGCAGGTGTCTTTCGGTGATAGGAGGTGAATGTGGCCTCAGGAACAGCAGGACTGCTGTTTTGGGGTGGACCTATGGTTGCCAAGATAAGGCAAACACTGGGTAACAGTAACATGACTCTGAAAACTCCTGCAGCCAAATGTCCTGAACTCACTGAAACAAAACCCAGCAAATTAGGTGGTTCGCAATACCAAAGCATGACATCAGAATATAATTCACATGAAAAACAAACAAAAATAGGCCTGCTGAAGCATTTTAAACTGCTGTCTATCCTGTTTTTCCATCTCTTTTTTTCTGATTGAGCTACTCTGCAGTCATCTTTTCCCCTCCTTGCTCTTTTCTCACAGGTAGTGCTTCACACTATGGCTCTTTGTCCCCCTGATGGAAAAATCCAGATGGAAAGAAGTGTAGTTCACAGGAAAATGATCGTGTAAGCGAAATTAATCTTTCAGATACTGTAATGTGAAACCCGATCTTCCTTTCTGTTAAGAAGACCCAATCTGTGTCTCTACATTTTGGCCAAAATCTGATGCTAAGAGAACCCTGGAGTCTCTTGAGGTAGAATTGAAAGCCTCGTGTGCAGAAACAGACACATTTAAAAGCAATAGTGGAGTTAAAACAGCCAGATGGGAACCTAGCAGGCAACTGAGAGGGGAACTCTCTGTTTTCCTTGCAAGCCTACAGGGGCTTGTTTGCAGGAATTAGAATCTCTCACCAGCAGTTCACTGCAGCTCTAATACCAAGTGGTATTGAAAATGAGAAGCAGGTTATGGCTGATGGTTTAAATGAGGCACCTATGGGAATTTTGAAATGAGATCCTGGATGTGTCTCGGTATAGAGCGTGCACATGGCAGAGCAATATTGCTTTCTTGGCTGACTGCATCATATATTATGGTCTTTTATTTTGCCCACGCTCAAGCAGCAGGGAACAGCAGAAGTTCATTGCTTCTGCGCACTGCTTAAACCCTGCTCTGCCTCGCCAGAGGCTGTGCCCCTGCCTCACAAAAAGCAGAGGCAGTCCCTTGGCCCCTGCACTGGTACGTGCTCAGTGCAGCACTGTATTTATTCCATTTCCATTATTTTGGAGTGAAGAGAAAAGCAGAATGTACAATTAAGATTATGCTGCCTGATATTTTTTATCTTATTTTACGGGAGTCTTTTTTTTTTTTTAAAAAAAGAGAATTTATGATTTGGAAAAGATGCCAGATGGAGGGCTCTGGAATGTGCAGCCCTCAGTGTAGCCATGGCTCTGCCAGCTGCAGGACCCCTTGCCCCACACTGCAATGCTGCTTGGCTGGCTAGGGAAAGCCCAAGCCTTGGCACTTCTCCACTGCTCTGCCTTGCCCAATACCTCTGTTCATGGCCAACCCTTCTAGTGGAGCATAGCAGCTTCTCTGTAGTGGGCTGCAGGGGATCAGTTTCTGCTTGTGAGGTGCTGGAGGTGGGCAGAGGAACAACCAATCCACATGTGTTTCCAAGGCCATATCATTCCATGGGGGAGAAGCTCGGTGCTGACCTCAGCTCCATCCTGCCTTCCCCAGCCTCCCTTGTGAGAGCTGCATGGCCTGGGCAACGGCACCTGCCCATATCCTAAGGGTATGCAAATGGGTCTGACAGGTGCAGAAATGGGGCATCTTCCCTGCTTGCCGGATGGCAGCTCTGGCATCTGCAGATTCCAGATTCAAAGGAGAAAAAAAGTAATAAATAAAATATTACCTTAGCAGCTGGCATCTTTGAGCTATTCTGTGCACTATCCCCAGCAAGACAGCGCTGCCCTCCACAGGCTCCTACCGAAATTTCCAACTTGGCTGTGGATGTCTGTGAAGCCAGGGATGATGCACTACCCCCTGGCTCTCTTCTGGAACACTGCTGTCCAGGGCACCACTGATAAGGATTAAAAACAAAAAACAGAAACGACCTCCAAACTACTGTTTTTTTTGGCACATCTCGACCTGCCTGATGCTGCTACCAGAATTAAAATAGCTGTAGTTGTAATCCCATTGCTAGCAGCCATTCCTGTGCTGCGTGCTGTGATCAGCAGCTCCCAGCTTGCCATGCCACTAACTGTTTCTAATAGTAGAAACTTCACTCCCATCTTATGTAAGGAGCGGGGCAGAGCGGCTGCGGCTTGTGACGTGCTCAGGCAGAAGCTTCCTGGGGCAGCATGTGCCCGAGGGCAGAGCTCCAGCCAGAGCAGAAGCAGTGACCTTGACATGGGTAAGGGCTCAGTGGCACTGCCAACTCCACACTGAGATGCTGTCGGTATCGTGGGCTGTCGATAGGTGTCAGTTATGGGCTTGATATGTGACCATGTGACACATGTGTTGTCAAACAGGCCGGATTCTGAGAGGGGGAGAAAAAAGCTTTGTAAGCTTTGGGAAAGACTAACAAAGATGTTAATGTACTGCTATTAAAACAGGCTCCTAAGCACCAGCTCCTCTGCAGGCATATGGATTTGTATAACAGTGGATTAAGGATTGTTTTTTTTCTCCTCAATTTACTTCTCAAATGACTTTTGTTTGACTGCTGCTGTCAATACAAAATTGATGGTGCTGTCAAGCTCTCAAGATTTCAGAATATCTGAAGGCACGTGTCAATGATTTTTCATATTTCTCGATCGTTTGGCAGAGGTATCTGCAGCTGCCTGTCTCTCCTTGCACAGTTCCTGTAAGCAGTGAAGTGCTCTCCCTTGCTTGAAAGAGTACATATGAAAAAGACACCTTTTGATAAAGTTGACAAAGCTGTACAAAATCTTTGCAGTTTCTTTGCAGTAGAATCAAGAGCAGAAAGAATTCATAATCCACAGTGGAAGATCTATTTTGGCACTTAATTTTTTTTTTCAGGGAAATTGTAGAGCTCTCAAAGGATGCTCTCAGCTTTGTTGGTATGAAGTAGAGCAATTTTTCTTCAGGTTTTAAATGGCTGGTTTTTGATCAGTTGATGCACCACAGGCCTGCCCCATGCCCAAGGCACAGTGTTGATACCCCAGAGCCTCACAGCATCGGGCAGGACATGAACAAGGGCAATTGTGCACTAGAACTTCTGAGGAGAGCTTTTTCCACCTCTCACTCATCAGGCTTTATACCGTTGTTTTTGTGAAGCTTGCTGAGGTTTTACATGGGCTGCAGGCTGATGCCTGAGCTGGTAGGGTGGGAGGGAGGCTGAGCTCCCAGCAAAGCACAGCCCGATGGATGCCCAGGGATGAGCTAAGAGCCTTTGCTGGGGGCTGTGCCTGCTAGAGGCTGTTTGGAACAGATACATGGGAGATAGGCTGCACATTTCAGTCCATTTTCCCAAAGGAAGCCTCCTGCTAACTGTGCCTCCAGCACAACCCTGGGAAGGCTCTCCTCTGCCTGAGAAACTCTCAGTGAGCAGGAATATATTAGGGATTGTGAGATTCTCAGGCACTGGGAGCCATTCATGCACCATAAATAGCATTACCATTCTTTTTTTGCAGTGCCTGGCATCCCAGGCAGTCATTTTTGCAGGTGCCTTTAGCAGCTTTTCTTATGGTCTCTTGGCAGGCTGGAATTTTGTGTACAGTTTTTCTTACTATCTCTAAATCATTTATTTCAAGGTAAAATACTGTTGTTTTTGTTGTTGTTGTTTTGGACTTCTTTTTCTTCCTTTTTTATTTATCATACATTACTGTCATATTTTTAGTAAAACTATGTGGGAAGAGCTCTTGCAGAAGAGTGAGGATCGAGACTAAGCCATTCATAGAGAATCTCTGTGATTGCAGGAAAAGAAAAGAAAAAAAAAAAAGAAAAGAAAATAACCCAACAAAAACCTCCAAAACCTCAAAAAGAACAAGAAAATTAAATTAAGCTCATACCCATTTTTAGCAAGAACTTGAAAGTGATTGGTTTTAAAATTAAAAAAAATCATGTAACATGTTTTGACATGATATGTGATGTTTCCATTGGGAGACTAGAAATACGTAATTGTAGAAGGAAAATCTTTACATGCCTATCAGAAAAGGAAATAAGGATATCTTGTGTCATGGAACTACAAAGCAGACATTTTGTTCTGGGATAACCAACGGAGCACTGCTATTCCATCAGCTGGAAGAGTTGGGCAGGCTTTCAGTACACAAGACTGCTCTGACTTGCGTGCCACCTTTACTGACAGCCCTTGCCTCAGAGCAACTCAGCAGTGGGGCCAGCAATGAAACACCGTAGTTTTTCCATTTTGCCAGAAGATGGCAGAAGAAAGCAACCTTGCGTGTTTTAAAAATAGTGCACTTGTGGCTGGCTGTTAGAACTCATAGTGACAGAGAAGAAATTGCTGTGGCTGGATGGGAGAAAAATGTGAAGGGTACTCGATGAATTAAATTGCTATTGACCAGGGCAGATTCATCAACTAATCTACACTGTATCCTTTCCTACGCAGATTTTCTGTGTAGGAAAAGCTTGTAACTGTGCTTATTCTTCCTATGCACAATGCAATTCGGCCTGGGTTTGCTCCAGTGCCAAAATTTTTTGTAACAAACCAGGCTCCATTGGTGTCCAGCACATAATGCTATCAGCCTGAGTGAAAATCAGGCTGATTTGTTCTGTCTTTTATTTTCTCTTCCCAGACTAATTTATCTTTCCTTTCCCAGTTCCTCCACTCGTGCTAGTAGAAGAATCCAAGCAGTGCAAGCACCCTCACCTTGCTGCTGGAAGAGGGGCAGTCACTGGATGCCTGTGCATCCTGGCTGCAACATGGGCTGCTGGGCATCACAGTGGACTAGCAACAGTGGTCAGCTCAGACACCTCTCTCTTCTCCAGGAGAAACCGACCCATCAGCCACATGGCTGACACAGAACTTTCAACTGATGTGATGATGAGGAAAAGCAACTGATGATGCAGATGCCTATTAGCTGGACAGCAACACCACTTTCTCACGAGATGATGCTCAGACAGACCTCAGTGCATTCTACTCTTGGGATTCTGGTCCTGCTTGGCTTTTTAAGGTAGTGTTCTTCATATTATTCTATTAGTCAAAAAGACTTTGGTCTTAGTATGGTTCTGTGGTTAGCAGCAGAATAACCTTAATCTTGTGAGAAAAACAAGTGATGGCAACTGGCACTGCTGGTGACACCATAAGCACACTGTCAGCTTACAAGGATTTCTATTGCCTTTCAGCTGCCCACCCAGGGGTACTGGATACCCCCTGCTATTTGGAAGTGAATTAAGCCTTCCTGAAAGTGAGTAAGTTTAATAGATTGTGAGATGCCTTTGAAGCTGCCTCATCCAGAACACCCTGCATCCCAGGTCCTTTTGCTGTACTTTCACCAACTGATCATTTTTGCCAAAGCATCTCAAGGATATGCTAAATCCTGTTCTGGAATTGAGGTGAGCAAGCACAAACCCTTTACATGTTGAAGTTTTAGTAGGCAAGTATGTATTTGCGGAAACAACATTCTATAGGTATCTCTGTGCTTGAAAAGAAAACCCTCTCTGACCTTTTAGGATTGAAGACTTTATATTAAATGCTAATTTGTATTTTTGGGGTTTTTTTTGGCTTTTTTTTTTTTTTTTTGTCTTTTCCTTCCTTCCTTCCTTCCTTCCTGCCTTCCTGCCTTCCTCCTTTCCTCCCTTCCTTCCTCTTTCTCTTTTTCCCTTTCTCTCTTTCTCTTTTTTTTGAGTGAAGATAACATTGAGAAACAATTCAGTACAGATAGTGCATCCCTAAAACAAAAGCAAATTCAGGGCTGTCAAGGAATTTGAAAGCCCTGGGTTAAAGGATTTTGCAAAGATTTCTGCTGAGTAAGGGCTATACACCTGAGAGGGAAAAAGCACTCAAACAAATGAGCTCAGAAGGTCAGAAGCTCTTGCAGAACCAAGACAGACATGATTGTGGTGCTGGATTGCTGCTCCTCCCCTGTCCATTGCTTGATCATTGCCACAGGTAAGAACTGTGATGCCTGGAGTGCTACATCATCACCCAAAAGGTCAAATCTGGCCTGAAATGCTCACCTGGGTCCTTTTCCCTTTTTGTGGCACCATCAGATGGAGGAAGGTTACTAGTGGCTTGCTGACTGTTGGAACTCAAAAGTTAGCTGCAGAGATGACATGCCTTCTTATTAGAGCTTACTAAATGTCTGCCTCACTTTCTACATCCATAGTGACAGCAGACTGCAGGAGGGTCTGCTATTCATGACTCCAGTTTGCTGTGTCATCCTAAGGTTCTAAATGACTGTAATTACCACATAACTCCATCTCATCCCTTTGTTAGCTTAAGCATCCAGTTGGTGAACAGAAAACTGGTTGATGGCCAGTTAAATATTCCATCTGACTCTGCTAGTAGAGGTGTTGGCGCAGTGGCACGGCTCTCTTTGCACACACCCAGGCTGCCGTCTGGCCGGTGACAGTTCCTCATCACAGGATACTGTGCCTTGACTTCACAGCTCCTCTGCATGGCTACACACTTTCTCAGCATGCCCTAATAGCAGCAGCCTTCCCTGTTTGCAGAGATCTGAAAGCATGCCATCTTTTGGCACAGAGATGCAGCCTGCTACCCCCAGAGGATATAAAGATAAAATCCTGGCTGAAAAGTAAATTCTGAGAAGAGAGCTAAGGTTATGGCTTTTTAAATATTTATCTTCAGTCTGTATTTGATGCCTGGCTAATGAAGTGACTGGGCTTTTACAGAAACCTACGAGAGGTTAAGCAACTTGGAGGAAAGCAGTGGTTTTCCTGAGCTGCAAGACAGAGTGTATGCAGAGCCACTCACGGCCTTTGTGGCCAAGAATTTCATGTGATGTCTCCTGCAGAAACCTTCAAATCTGAGCTTTATGTATGGCCAGTACGGTTGTGCTCCTTTCTTTTTCTAAAAATAATGGATTTCCATCCTTACTCTTTGGATTTACTTTGCTTCACTCACCATTTTCCCGAGTTTAGCAAAGAAGCTGTCTGTGGAAACAATAGATGAACAAAAAATTATCAACGACTTTTTTTATGTGGGGGAAATATTTTTCGAAGGCAGAAAGAGGGAATATATCAGGCTATGCATCGAAGCACTATTTATGCCCTTGAAAACCTTTCCCATAGAGTGCTTAATTGGTCTGTGAAAAGTCATTGCCAGAGGAGGTAATTGACCATTTTTTATAGAAGGATCAGTAACAAAAACATTCAGAGCTATTGTTCTAGAAATTAAAAATATATAAATTAAGAATTATGCAAAAAATATGTTTTGGGGCATAAGCCAGCCTCTCCTGAAACTATGCAAATTCATTTGGTGAAAACAACAGCAGACACAGTGAAATGAGTTGTATACGAAGAACTGAGATCTCAAATGTGATATTATGCAGAAGGTAAAGAGGCTGTACTAGATAAGTAACAGTTCAATGTGTTATCAAGGGTGCACTTCGATTTTGATGAATGTTAAAAGAACCTTTAGCCTTGAAAATAAAGAGGATAATTTCTCTCTAGGCAATGGCTGCTCATGAAAGTCATAAAATAGGAGCATTGGAGCCCTAATTTTATAGTGCTTTTTAAATGATTTTCAAATAGTCCAGCTGCTTTGTGCCATAATATCACGAGGCAGAGATATTTACGCCAGCGATAACAAGCATGCATCAGCCTGCCCGAGCTGCTCTCCACAGGCAGCCAGCATTAAGCGAAACACATATGGAAAACTGATACTTGCCAATGCGGATTGATCACAACGGCACCGTGGCTGGAGTGATCCTGGAAGCTGCTTTTTGCACCAAACAACTCAACTGCTTTTCTTGTTTGCGTCTTGCCCGTGGAGCACAGGATGTATGCCGCCAGTGATTCTGCTTCTATTTTGACACTTGAGCACCTGCCAGTTACACACACCTCCTAGGCCATACAGTCCCCAGTCGACTGTTTGGAAATAGGAGGGCTAATTCAGCCCTGGGTTACACCCCTGCTTTTTTTGCGGGAGTTTCTTCAAGATTTGATTTGCCCCCACCACAGATGTTCCCAACTTGCACAGAAATACACACATGCTGCAAATGAGCTCAGAACAAATGCTGCATAGCTCTGCTGAGATGCTGGAGTTGCCACCTTGCCAATTTGGGTATTCATTTCAGAAATCTGATTAGCATTTTATCTTTGCAGTTCCCATTCCTTTGCAAAACATTGACAGTAGACAGATGCTCTGGGCAAGCAGAGTAGGGCTGAAAGAGTGGGTTGTTTATGAAATATCCCTGTAAAATTAAATAATTCTTTATTTGTTTACTAGCACTGAAGACACAGCACTATTTGTGTTAAGAGAATGTAGGTGGTGATGGGAGATCCTGAGCATGAAAAGAAAGCTTTATTTTATTTATGGCAACATGCTTCTGTAAGTCTAAAGTCTGTGAGGCTAGGATAGAGCTGGGTAGAGAACATGGTGGCAAGTAGGTGCCTCTGGGAGGCCTCTGGGAGCTGAACATCAGTTGTCTGCAGAGTGGCAAGCCTCTCTTCCCCAGTGTGTCTAACTTCTGGCCCCCAGTCTGTGTAACTTCTTGTACATGTTGGAATTCCACATTTGTTTCTCTTTTTCTTTGCTGATCCCAATGTAGCAAAGCACATTACCATCTTTTTAAGCCCAGTGCTATTTAAACATTGAGCAACTTTCTCCTGAAGTCGAGTCTTCTGACTTTTCATGAATGGAGTGGCCAATGAAATGGGAACGTATTTGAGCACAGTTTTTCTTTCATTTAACCAAATTGGTAAGGAGTAACTGCAAAACCCCACTGTCCCCTAAAAGATGGGAAACAGGTTTGTTAGCAGAGCTTTATGTCACATTCCTTTGATCTTTATCTCATATTTAGATTGTCCAACATTACCTCCCATCACTTTGATCCTATATTTCATAAGAATTTACATAGGCGTATACTGTATCTCTGTTCAGTATCTAAATCTTGCAGCTGTTTCGGGAACCCTCAGCTTGATGAATTGCTCAGTAATGGAAAACTCTTTGAATAGCATTGCCTTGAGGAAAATGACAGAAGTTAAGCCAGCCCAAGGGGAGCAGATCTGCTTTTTCCAAGAACACAAGGAAGCAAGATTTTCCTGCAGAATAGGAATGAATGTATGTTGTGCTGCTCCTGGCTGCATTGTATAGTGCCAATTGCATTAGTTGGTACTTCTGCCTCACTTGCATCTCATCTTTCCAAGATCCAATTTATGGTAGCTGAGATAAAGTATCCTTCAGGATATTACATTCATCCATTTCATAAAGCAAGAACCACTTTTTGATATAAGAGATGTGAGTCCAGAAAAAGAGAGGAAACATATGGCACTAGGCTTTGTAAATGGCCAACTGGCATGTCTATTATGGCTGTTTGCAGCTTTTGGCTCCTTTTCAAACCAGAAAGTAACATTATATATGCTGTGCATTCTTACATACCAATTAAAAAAAACAAACAAAAAACCCACAACCTTTAGAAAAATATATATATATATATTTATATATTTAAATCTGCGTTTTTCAACTGAAATCTCAGTGCCTTTCTTCCCATTCACTAAAATACAGCATCATTCCCATTTATAGTTGCTTTTTTTCTCTCGTTTCAGAAGACACCCTCTGGTGATTACAGTAGCCCATGTGTCATCTTTGCCATTGATTTGGGCACAGTTATAGTTACGTGCATTACTTCCTATCTTTCAGGACACTGCTGTGCTCTCTCCTGCCATGGAGACAATATCTGTAAGTAGGTAGTCAGACTTATCCAAATGGTTCAGTGAAGTTTAGTTAATGCTTCTGAAGTAATCTGTGATCGCTTAATGAAATTGCTGTGTTGGAGCAATGGTTAACCAGGGGAGGAACTAACCATTAGGCCTTGTGAATGTACTCTGAGGTTGTACAGAAATGCATACCAAGGTGAAAGTCCTCTGCAGGTATTCCATAACGATGACTTTCCTAGCCACAGAACATTCAGTCCCCTTTGCTTCCCCGTGCAATGTGTAGTAGTCGGTGACATCAAGCCTCCTCTGGCCTTCCTTGTTATGGACTACAAAGCTGTGGAGAATCGTGTATGAAGGCTCATGACAGAAGGCAACTCAGTGTTTCTTATTACCTCATAATGTTACTGTTTGCAGACCCCAGCATCTACATTTTGAGACTCGTGTAAGAAACAGTAAAGTAATGAAAGAAAGGTAAAAGGTTGTGATTTCTGCAGAAAATGTACACTTTCCTGTCTGGAACTTCTTGTAAATTTACAGGTATACAGGCTCCATTTGACTACAGTCAGCGGCCCAAACACCTTGCAAAAATTCAGTCCACAGGGTAGCTCAGGTCGTCCTACAGCTGGTCTTGAGGTGTGATTGTTGCTCAGGTTTTAGCAACCATTTTGCCTCAGGGTGCAACTGTGTGGTGTTCCTTTGCTGGCGAAGTATTAGTCTTGCTAATCTGATTAAGCTTCAGCTGATAAAGCTGCCTGCTTAAAATTCAGTGTGAAGCTGAATTTCTGCAGGATGTTTTACATCTTGGGCCCAGAGTTATTTATTGCGTATCATTTTTAAAAATGTTTCACCTTTCAACTTGAAGGGACTTGGCCCGGTGTGCCAGCAATGGCTAACAGACAGATACATACTTAATAATCAATTTATTAACCACTTCAAAGTCCTCCAGGATAAAAGACACCGTGCAAAGTCTGCCATTCCTACTTTATTATTTATTTATTTCTTATAGTGAAGAGTACATAATGTGTTATAGTGCACGGTGTACGATGAATTATATTTAACTCATTTAAAGAGGCTGACTATCATATATCTGATAAAACCATCAGGAAAAGTATGCCTTAAGGAATACAGCTTTAATTCTAGACTGATATTTAATCCAGCTCCTGAGAAACTGCACATAGCTGGTTCCACAGAAATGAGCAGTGGCAGCTTGTGGTACTGCTTTTGGGTTTTTTGGTATGAGCTGTGGCACAGTGATGGCAGTACAGAAACAATCCCTGCTTGTTGACTTTGCTTAGCACTGGGTTGTGCTCTAATTCCAAATCCTCTCTCTTCCACACTTCCAGAAGATGCCATGAAACCTAACTCTGAAATGTTGTTAATCTTAAATGTTGTTGATCTTACTGATGTTAGAATAAAGAAGCTGGCAGAATAAAGAAAACTCCATTGATAGTGTGAACAAATAGCAGTTTTGCTGATTGTAGGCTTTGATTCTTTGTAACTTTCCTGTTGTAGATGAACTGTTGCATTAGCAAACCTCTATGTTTTTACTCCTGTTAGCTGAAAGTTCAGCTCTTACTTACTACATGTACACACTGTTGTTATCTATACATTTCTTCCCACCATTCATCATTTTATTTTTTAAAATTTTTAGTCTTTGAGGTCTATGTGTTACACATTGCAGCACTTAGGAAATCTTTTTTTAATCTATAATTTTTAATTTATGGAAATTATTAAAGAGAATTTTATTCTCTTTTAATTCATTGTAATGTGTTTTGTTTTTCCTTTAATGAGCAGTCCCTTTGCTTTCTTCTATGCTTAGGCTATTTTAAGGCAACTAAGCTTAACAGCGCTAACTAAATAGTTGGACAGCATGTGTTAATGAGAGCTGCATTTCCTAGCCCTTCAGCCTCAAATAGCACTTACATACAGCCTGTGTAGAGCTCAGGCTGCTCTTCACCCACGTGCTTTGATTCCACCTTGCAGTTTTTGGACTGCAGGAACGCTGGACTCGCTGCATTCCTGGCTGCCTGTCTGACCATCCCCAGGCAGTGGCCCATCGGTAGCCACACATGGGGTGCTGTTGCTGGAGCATTCTCTTCACTTGATGGTCCCCAACAGGTGGCTGTCCCTAAAAGTGACATGCACTTTGACAGGTCCCCCAGCGGGCTGAGTGCTGCCTCCCCTGTGAATGGGAGCACCCACAGAAATAAAAGTTCTGCTTTAAGTCAAAGTTTTACCAAAAAATAACCACCCCCACAACTTCCCACAGAAGCAGTATTGCTGTGCTTGCCAGCACAGAGTTCTCCCCACAGAAGAAATGTTGGTCAGTGCAGTGGAGACACAGTCTCCAGTGTCTCATGTGATCCAGTTCTAATAATAAACTATTGGGAAATGGGATGGCTCCTGTTAGAGGTGAGTTCAAAATAAAGGCCATGAGAGCAGCAGCTGTCATGGGCCTCCACACAGACCCATTGAATTCACTGTCCTTGTGTCTGCCTGTGGCTGTAAGCTGATGCAGACAGAAAATGAGGCTGCACAAGTGTGAGATACACCACTTTCTAATGCTCTCCCAGCCTCCAGCTCATGAACTTCCAGGTCTCATTGGAGTTTCTGTGTATTTCGTAACCCTGAGCAAATTTCTGCTCCACAATTTTTCCCATTAGTCCTCTAATGTTTGTAAACTTCTACCTCCTGCAGCATCCTGGGTAACCTTGCTGTGGATTTTGTCAAGTGCATTCTTTAGAAAAATACTAAATATATGACCATATTGAGGAAAGGCCAGCCTTGGCAGGAAGGCCTGTGTGCCTGTTTGTCTAAGAGGATGAAACACTGACAGTACCTGTGGGATCTTGGGTAAGGAGATCCCTATGGGTGAGCCTGCATGCTCAGGTTAGTTCAGCAGGCACTGAGCTTGCATTCAGGAATCTAAACATCTTCCAGACTGGGGCCCTCCCTCAATGAGGAGCACCTTTCAGCACCTTCAGTTTTCCTCATCGTACATCCCCTGTTGACATGTGCATATTCCAAACAAAGTGCTGCTGGCGAGGCAGTATTTTTCATTTGTTTGCGATCCTCAGCATAACTCTCCAAACCAAAATTCAAAATGGAATTTTTTTCTGCTGACAGTAGAAAAGGGGAAGTACTAATGTCACGTCCCATCACTATGGACAGAGTAAGGGACCAGGGAGAAGGTCTCTTTTCTTCCTATCAAGCCACAGCAGATAGTGTTTTCTGTTTCAAGAGGTTACAGGACTAATTTTACTACTTTTGTGTATGTTGATGGGAATCCTTTTCCCTGCGTGGAGCAGGAGCCAACGGTGCACAGAATATAAAGGAGCAATGCAGGCAGACAGGAAATATAGGCAACACTACCTTCGCAGATTTAAAACACTTCTGTGACTTGTCAGTGCCCTTGAAAAAGAGTTCCTAAGCAATTTATTCCATCCACTGGGGTATGCCAGTCCTGCTGTACAAAATCACTGCCATATCATTAGTGGCATGGATGCCATACTGGCTTGGCTCCACTCAACACTACTCTGCTCCTTGTGAAACAATGCCCTCATAGGATGAACAGCACGTAAGAGAGCAGGTACTAATCTACAACGGGAGCAGCTTTCACAGCTGTGGCTTTGTGGGACAGATGTTCAGGGGCACACAAAGCATTATCCTGATGGGAGGTTCCATCAATCTTTCTCATACGTGTCTAATTTTGCCCAGCCTAAAGCCATTAAGATGCTTTATTTCACTCACGTGAATTTCAGACTTTTCAGTGCCATGTTTTCAAAAGGCTTCCAGACTGAAATCTACTGTAATGTGAATGAATGAAGTATAAATTATATTGAAATGTTAACTCATGTAAATCCTATCTCTAATGGAGAACTTCAAAGCAAACCCAGCTCCTCCTCCACTGCTCTGCTGCTTTGTGAGGTATAAAGATTATGTTAGCACTGGTGGGGTTTAAATGCAATTTTCTATTTGATCATTTTTTGCATTACAAAGTTTTCTCTTTCTCTTGCCAGTGGAACTCCTTGGCAAGACTTAGGAAAATCTGAATAGACAGTTGAATAAACTTCTGAAAGGATCTTCATGCTTATGTTGCATTCCCATAACCACTAGGCAGAATAGGATATCTGCATTCCCATAACCACTAAGCAGAATCAGCATCCATATCTCTTCAAGAGCCTCTTCAAGAATTCAGGGTAATAGGGATCTGGGAAGGAAGAATTACAATCCACAAGTCACCATTACTTATGCCTTCTAATAATCTTTGCAAGCCTCCTCCAGCAGAAGGGAAATAATGAGACCTGATGCTTCAAATGCAAACAAGCATGCAAAAATGTATTTACTCAATCTGGTAGAGAAAGTTCATAAGGGCAGCTAATCAATAAATCAAACTAGTAGCAAAGGGCAAAAACAGATTTGATTATTGCTTCACGGTTCACCACAAGGTAACAAGGTAATTTTCAGGTAGAATGGTAGCATGAATTGCAAATGCTGTTCCTGTATTAAAAATCAAGTTGCTTAAGTAACTAATTAACTGGTGATAGGAAAAGTGATAGCCTCAAAACAGCTTAAAACTAACTTGTATCAATTAAGTGTAGCTATTGACTTAAGCTAACTCGGTTCCCTGCTGAATTTAGAAAACAGTAATACAAGATGAATTTAAATCAAATAAAGAGTGTTTAGGCAGGAGGGGATTTGACTGTCTGGGCTTTAGGCTTATTTTCAGTTGAAGTTTTGA